GGCAAATATGACGTCATTTCCTGGTAGATGGAATATACAAAAATAATATGTGCATTATCTATGAAAAGTATGAACATTAGAAAAACAATTCTGAATTTATATTAGATGGCTGGCAAATGTTTCAGTATGATATATATGAGCACGTGATGAATTTCGTTAAATGTAAGTTCAGTTTATATAACATAACAAATTACTCCTTCTCTCTCCATTTCGTTAGTTAATTCAAAGAAGGGGTGATTTTGGAGACCCGGTTGGGGACTTTTACCGAAAGTGGACTAGTTACAAATCTGGATTTCGAAATTAAACCAGGGAATTTTGGTTAGGTAATTGTTTTTATTATATAGACAAAAGCTATTTTTTCTTTTAAAACCTTTATAAAGATCTTTATCAAAGGAAAATATAAAGTATATAGTTAATAGTAATATATTTATTTATTAGACTCATTAATACAAATATAATTATTAATTATCTTTATAACACAAGAGCTCCTTTGTTATATTGTAGAAGTGAACATGAAAAGTCACGTATCAGCCAGATCCATGCTTTCAACAACTTCTGATCATGAGATATAGTGACATCATAAAAATTCATTTCAGATATCATGTTTCCTCTGTAAGACGGAAATAAAATCATGGGTACTTACTGTAACCCTAAGAGGAGAATATAGCTCAATATACGTGTCTATCCAGTACATCATGTATTATATAGTTCAGTTATTATGTATTTGGTCCCTCTTCTTGTTAACACAGGCTAATGTTCATCACCACAGTGCTTGTAGTACTGTTGGTTCACTGGAAGGAATTATCGATTCTCTGTCGTCTACTGTGGAAGAATTAACATATCTCGCTAAACAGAGAATTACTACATTAGAAGGTAAAACATTCCTTTGTAATTTAATTACTTTAAAAACAACGTTTTCGTATTAATATGAGATAGCGTTAATGAAAAGAACTGTCAATGATTTCAGTATACTGGTAAGCATTTTGAAGTTTTGAATGAATATTGACATAAATTTATAATTATACTTTACTATGTGTTCTATTCCAGGCCCTATTTGTTCTAAACACAACGTGTTTCATACCATAACGCCCATCTCGACCAACGCAACACAAATTAGAGAAAGAACCTCTCTACCGGTAGACTGTTCCGCCATCTATCATCACGTAAATCAAACAAACGGCGTCTTCAAGATATGGCCTCATTTTCTGAACAACCCAATCTCTGTATACTGTGATATGGAGACTGTAGGGGGAGGATGGACGGTAGGTGATCCAGTAGAAGTTTGTGATGTCCAAAATACGTACGGAGAAGATTCTAAGTTAGAAAAATAAAGACTTTTAATAATATGAACACACATTGTTAATTTTAATATTTTAAAACCACTTATAATGTCTCTTTTTTATCATAAAAATCACACATATATTCGTAAAAAGAAAAGAAAAATTATGTTCCTACCGCCTACTTGTAACACAATCACTAGGCTGCACGATGCTATAAACCTGAAACCGCAATTCAACTATTTTTCTAGACAACAGAACTACAGCTTATAAGGTGCTGGTATTACAGTAATTATGTCATTGATATCGTGAAGAATTAAAGTTGAGGTAAGATTTATAGATGTATACATCTATTGATAATATTTATATTTGATTAACTTTGAATTCTACTTGATTCAATCAAAGTCAATGATGGGAATGTTTTTAACTCTTTTAACACGGGATCAGTTAATGTGATGACTTCGTAACCATTCTGTGCTTGCTATAGTTTTCTTGCTATAACTTTTAAATTAGTACCTAACCTTAACGAAATTTGGTAGATTATCAGTAAACATTTCAACGCTTTCATTCGCAAATTATCAATTTTTTCTTAAGTCTTAAGGTTTAAAAAGCAATGTTTTTCTC